ACCACCCAAGATACACATCATCCCTACCAGCTTTAGTAGACAACAGGAAGACCATCGATGAGAAATCATCAACACCAACAACTCCATCATTAGCCTCATCTTCCGGACTTGGTGACACCGATGGTGACGGTGAAGGCGACGGGGTAGAGCGGTTGAACCTAACATACATACCATCTATACACAAGACCACCACTATAGGAGCCTCACCTGTCCACCGCTTCCTGCCTATCTCCAGCACTCACATTACCATCTAGCCTCTCAAATCGTACACCCCTAGCTCTAAGGTAATCATCGATGATATCCAACTGCATCGTGAACTGACTGAATACCAGCACCTGGTCGGATCGAGAGAAGGCTTGTCGCAGACAGGGTCGGACGAATACATGTTCGCTTTCTTCTAATTATACAACTTCACACACGAACTCGGGTAGAAGTGTACAGAAACCCATAAGAATTTCCCAAAATTTCCTCCCAGAATTTTCATATTGTCACCAACACGTGTAGTTGACCATGTGCATATCAGGTGGACTCCTACCTTCTCTCCCTCTGCGAGGAGCTTATCGATCAACTTCTCCAAGAATACCATTTTCCCCGACGCCGACACCAGCAGCTGGTTTATCGCATCCTACATCCAGCCACATAGACTGCCGCTAATTTCGTGGCGCGCGGTCATCACCACCTGATCGCCCTTCAGCCTGCTGGTCAACTGCTCCTCCACTCCCGTGATCAGGAATGGATGGTTACAGCACTTTCGGAGCTCCATAGCCAAGTTAATCAGCGACGGCCCGCCGCCCTTCTTTTCACCATCACCTAAGCCCATAATATAAAGCTATAGATATGAAAAACACTAGTGAAAGAATTGCATATCACCAAATGTTCCTTCTTAGAGGAAAGTCGTAGTAGACTAAGCACTCAGCAGATGCCGAAGTGATGAAAGCCGTAAAGCTTCTTATGAAGACTGAGCTACGTTCGTACGAAAACTCAATGAGCGGAACGAAGTAATTTTCTTTCCATGAAATGGAAAAAAATCTCCTATCACCGCGAAAAATATCGCGTTTTTCACCAAGTATTACACCACTTCGCGTAAAACGGGTGAAACTATGTGGTCTGTATACAGTCCACCAGCCGACAAGAAACTCCTCCTCCTCCTACCACTCGACATCAGTTTTTGTATATTCCTCGAGTAAACCGCCTTATAGATTTCCCTCTGAGCCGCAGTCATCTCGACATTAATGATGACCTCCCTCTTCGCCGGGATCTAAAACAGTACTCATTGATCGTCCACAGCGACCAGGCCCTACCAAGTGAGCAAGGACGTCCGCCTTCCTTCTCTGTATCATACAACAGGCAACCTAAAATGCTCCACCCATGCCCTCAGCAGCAGCACACGGTGCCAACAGCGCGGGAATATATGTTGGCTTTCCTCAACTACACTTTACTATGAAAATCCACACAAAATTTTGGCGTAGAAGTATACAAAAACCACCCATAATTTCCTCACAATTTCCATATTCCTACCAACACATGTGCACATTCCCTCCCCACATTAGCTCTCGGTGACCTACCTCCTTCTTCAGCTTCAAAGCCGTTTGTCCGTCCTTCATATCACCATAGGTCTCCAAGAATGCCTCCCGCCCTTCCTCTGGCCACAAAGTCTCATTAGCCAGATTCAGCAGGGACCACATCTCCCCAATGTTATTCTGAATCGGAGTGCCTAAAACAACCTCACTGGATCTTCACTTGTTTTACGTGAACTGGTGTAAAACTCCATGAAAACGCGATGATATTCACACTCCGCAGTAGCCGTGAAATATGAAATTTTTCATATCACTAGGGCGAAACTCCTCTGATTCTGTGCTGATTCCCTCAGCTGTGCTCAGTCACTCCTACTCGCGTTAACCTACCCGTGAGAAGGAAGCGGCTGAGGCAGGGCACCCTCGAGCAGGCCTCTCTCATCCTACTGCCCACACTCTTTAATCTGTGTGCTTCATCGAAGACCCCAGCACACCACTGGAATGCGGTAAAGTTGTCAAGCTCAGCTGATAAGGTCTCATAGCTGCATATCAATACGTCGAACTTGGGGAACTAAAACGACCGCTGTGGGAATCGAACCCGGATCAAATGAGCATCCCTCCCTCCACACGGACACGATAGTCTACCATCAAACAGCCTTACCGTATAAGAAAACACTTCACTGTAAATTCCCAGAAAATGACAACACTCCCACTAAAAACTATCCCTCCTCTGCTCCTTGTAAATTCCAGAAACAAGATCCTCAGACTTCTCCCGAGCGTTTCAAGCGAATCAACGCCCAGTATTCCCTCCCTCACCTCCTCAGCTTTCTGCCTATTGATAATGCAACTCTGCCTTGTCGGCTCCAACCTGCATGTCGGCCACTCATACCTCCTTATCACAGCCCGGTCCTTCTTAGTGCCGTGATATACAGTCACTGTTAGGGGTGTCCAAGCCTCTGAGAACAACGGGAGCTTCTTCATCTACTACTAGTTCATACGATTTCGCCGATTTACGGTATTGACAATGACTTCTATCACCTATTTCTCTCTTCCAATTCACCAGAGTGCTCACTGGTGCCACGACGAGGAAGGGCATCCTCGCGGCTCTCTTGGGGCTGTTGTTAAGCAAGCATGCTCGTATGTGCGACAACGTCACCGACGTCTGTATGGTTTTCCCGAGACCCATTTCATCCGCCAATATGAACCCAGAACCTGACCAAAAGCCTCCATCCTAAATTCTCAATACTCCATACCACACCTTTCTCCCATCGCATAAGCATCCATGTTATTCCCTGTACTTGGAACTCAAACAGTTGGCGAGCCGACTCCGCCTCCGTCCCCTTCTCCCAGGGCTTCCTCACAGTGCAGTACCTAAATCGACTCCCCTAGCATCACAACGACAGCCCCTTCCATTGTTAGAACATATCTTCACTTTCCTCACCTCAACAGCTCCATTTCTAACTATGGCAATCTAACACGATCCCGGAGAATATGCACAGAAACCAACAATACTTTCCTCACCGTTTCCATAGTGTCACAAACTAACATGTCCCTATATTCTCCCTCCTTACACTAGAGCCTTCTTATCCTCGTCCTCCTTACCACACGCTTTGCTGAACCCAGCCGTCGCGCCCGTACGCATCTTCAGACTGACGTCAAAGTCCATCGCCCCTCTCCTCATCGGGTCATTTTCCCCCCGAAATTCTCCCATAATTTCCTCCAATCCCCTGCCCCTCTCTGTCAGCCTCGCCGCCGTCTCCACATCGGACGCTCCTTCCCAAGTACTCTCAGCGTACCCCAACCCATACCACTTGCAGAGGTACTCGGTAGCGCCAGAGTCCGCCAACCTCAACGCCAGGATCTTCTCCACTGTGACGTACGCGGGGTTTATCATTCCCGAACCTACTATCATCTCCCTCGATGAGTCATAAATTCGAAAAGGTGTGGTATGAGAGCTGTAGTCCATAATTTCCTCTGTGACCATAGTTCAGTTCTCACTCAGCTGAGCTCAGGTGTTTTCTCACTATTAAAAGGAGTTTTCATACGAGTAAGGGTAGAACTAAACAGAAACCAATAAGAATTTCCCAAAATTTTTATATTTTCCCTCCCCACTGCTCCCACTACTACCCGGGTAAGCAGCATCCTTAAGATGCGCGTGCCTCTGCGGCGTATCCCCATCTGATCCACGATGATATTTCTGGTTAAAATTCCGCATTTTGGTAGACCTCTGATCGCCCTGACCACAACCGACTCACTCCCACCTCCCATACCACACCTTCCTCACATCCAAATCAACCATCTCCTCACTAGGCACCCACTGAGCATGCAAGTAGCTCTGATGAGCGAACTTACACAAGTACTCAAATCCCCGACCTGAGCTCAACCCTCCCCCCCTCCATCACAGCACCACCAGCCTACCCAGAGCCCTTCTAGCTATGATCTTCTCAATTTTTGGTATGGACTGCTTCTCAGAAGGCTCCTCAATATCACTATCATAGCCGTCACCTGTGAATCGCAGGTGTTGGAATATATATTTGCCTTCTTCAACTGAGCAGCTCAGAACTTTCCTCACGATTTCCCCGCATAATGTAGGGTAAAATTGTGCAGAAAATTCCCCAAATTTTCTCAGAATTTTATGTGCATATTTTCCCACACTAGAGCAATAACATTACGACTAACCCAACACCCCTTACCTGGGAACCTGACCACCATTTCATCTTCCTCATCCGACTCCTCCTCCTCCCCCACAGACTCCCCATCACTACCACTGGACTCACTACTACTGCTAGTCGCCTCTGATTCGCTCTCCTCCTTCTCCTCCTCCGCTTGCCGCCCTCGCCTATTCTGCCGTCTTCGCATACCTCGTCCCCTCGACACTGGAGGAAGATCCTCCTCCTCATCATCACTCAGAGTAACTAACACGCAAGTACATACCAAAACTTGCACAACTCCTCCCATTACATGCATCAGTCAATCCAACAACTCCCTGAGACCTTTCCTTCTTCCCAAACCGCTTATTCAAAGGTTCGTCATCATCATCCTCATCGTCACTAGACTGAGGCTTCCTACCCCTGAACGACCACCCAAAAGTCGTTGATGAGGACATCAGCCAACACTACTTCCGTAATCGTTGTGTCCTCTTCCTCGGTGGAGGGGCGTCGCTGCTGCTGCTACTACCACTGCTCAACTCCTTTACTTTCCTCCTGGGCCTCTTAGTACCACTACGCGACATGGACACTGACAGCACCATAGGATGGTAAACACGTCCATAGGTTCTCCCACAAACCTCCAGGATCCTCTAAACACTTCTTAGTAGTAGCCACACGGCGTCTATTCAAAACTGCCAATTTGCTCTGAAAATGAGTATCAGGCGTTACTCCCAACCCCTCCCTTTTCTCCTCACCGCATTAGTCCGAGGTTTATGCCACTCGCCCGGCGTTAATTTCTGATCCTCGAATTCACTCGACTTGAAGAAGTTATCAAGAGCACTTCCCCAAACCCGTGCCGTAGCCGCTGGCGAGCGCCTGAGTGACTGGAATACCCCTAAGCCACATACCACACCTCCGCTACTTCTTCTCAGTCGAGCCTATAGGCCTGTCATCATCCTCACTGTCCTCACTATCAGAGCCCAACTTCCTCTTCTCCTCCAACGACAGTATAGTTGGAGAAGCCATCAGGTTGGCCCAAAACTAACGACAACCCCTCACGCTCTAACGACCGACTGAACCTCAAGACGAGTGTAGAGAGAGCCGTTCTCTGGATTTTCAGTTTTTCTGGGGCCCTGGTCAAACCGGTGACCGTGGGCTACTAGGGGACCATGGACCCTCTAGGGAAACCAGTGAGGCTGGGCCTCAGGACGATTGCCCAATCCGTCCACCCATGTGTACGGCGCCTGCTTTGCTAAAGCAGATGGACTGCTGTTGAGAGACACACTGTTTGAGTCAACAAAAATCAATAATCAACTTCGCGCCTCCTCATCCTACTCTACAAGTAATCTAAAGGTTGCAAAACTTCTTAGTTTGCTGCTTATCGAGCGATCTGCATGGTATAAACCGGACCTCAACCGTATCTTACCACCTTCAACCTAAGATACCACATCGTCCAACGGAGGTTGGTACTGCATTATCACAGCTCCTGGTCTGCTCGCATCATACACCAGAGTTTCCGGCTGCCTGTGGAGGAGGGCACCGAGCTTCCCCAGCCCCTACTACTCAGGTCTGTCAGAATCCTCCTCTTTCCTATTACCATTCACAGAGTGACCTCGAGTAGTAATCCTACTGTAAAAAGGCGGAGCGAAGCGAATATTTTTTGACATTTTGTTTTACAATTTCCCTGTCATAATTTTCCACCATCTCCCCAATGGCAACATCAGTCCAAACAGGAGTACCATCAGAATGGAATCTGAGCCTCTGCTCATTAGCTGTGAAGGAGCTGCAACAGTCAGCGAATGGAAAGTAGTAGGTTGGTCCAGGATCTCCTTATGACCATACAAAAGCTCTATTAAAGTTCGTATTAATGAGATGATGTATTTCCATCAACTCCAAATTGATATCTGGACATCCGGGGGAAAATGAATTTATCTTTTACGTGTATAATTCGCCAATGGGCTCATTCAAAGGACGTTGAGGATCGTCGCTCATTTAGAATCCGCAACAGAGTATGGACCTATTCCGTATCTTTACCGCTGCAACCTAAGATACTCCCTCATGTCAGTGTTCGTCAATACATCCTCAACTCGGATATCCGTAAATTGGGCTCGAAAACTGCGGGTGAGAGCGGCGAAGAAATTCATAATAAAAGTAATGCTATGATTGACAACGTGCAGAGGCAGATTGAGAAGGCCAGGCTGGGCGCTGGGGTAAGGCTCAACTACACTTGTCAGTGGTGAAAACAGCTTCTCTAAGGGGGTACTATTGCAACTCATTAAAATAAGCGATATCAGCAAGCCGGCGGCGGCCTCGGCCACGTACGAGTCGTCCAAGGGAAGTAGTGGTGGTGGAGGAGGAGGGAAGAGAGTCCTTCTACTCCAGGCGACTGATGGTACCCAGAAGGTAGTAGTAGTAGCATGGCTTCGGCAAGGTCATTTTGTAGCACAGGTTAGCTGTTTAGAAGTCGATAGAGTCGATGCTCTCTCGGTTGGACTACCCCCAGGTAAGGTACTCGTACGGACCTCATCCGTATCTTACCAGATAGGCACTAAGATACTCCTAGATGGCTCCACAGAGGTTCTCAACGGTCAAGTGCTCCTGCGACCAGACAAGGTGACCGACCCTTCCCGCCACCTCCATAGCCTCATACCGTACTCAGTAGGTCAAAGTTGTAGGAGGAACGGTAGAGCGCCTAGTAGAAGCATGGAAGGCCAACAAGCTGGCCGCTGAGGTAGCAGACAAGTGACGACCCATCATCGTGTTATCATGCAACAGTCACGGTTCGGGTCGGAATCACGGACGAAGGATGCCAGTGTTGACGGACCACCAAAGTTCGTGTCATTCGCGGATCGCAATAAAATATATAAAAGACACAACCAGAAGGCCCCGGAAGTAGTCATGAACAGTAGGTCGTCCTAGGGGAGGAGGAAAGCGACTCCACGCTGCTATTACGTTAGAGGATCTCGCGCCTTCCGAGGGCCCTGCGCCACCTTCCGACGATCAGCCAAGCTCGTCACGGTTCAACAGGGGCGAGGTGGGCGAGGCTGCTGCCGTGGTTGATATGGTAAGACCGTGAACATCTGATAGAGGACTGTACGTGCGTGTGCTAGGCTAAGGTCTCCAAGGATGCATTCAAGAGCAAATTCGATAGAGGTGAATTCCCCATCTGTTCTGAGTCTTGATCGACTTGATTGCTTCGTTATAACAGCACCAACAGCAGCAAGGAAGCCTCATATGGGAAAGCATACAAGGAGGAATGAGGCGCGTGCATTGGAAGCGGAGTATAGCCGCCCATCTACAGGAGGTAACGGCGATGTGATGATATTCTAGATATTACTACAGTGAGGAGACTAGCAGTTAGATTACGGGAAAAGCAGTGGTATAATCTAACTGGATAAGTGGCATCGGCTGTTACTCAGGTGCATCGTTGGGAGCGTTTCTGAACTTAGGCAAATCAGATGAATTGGCAGCGGCAATGGTAATAGGATAGAACCTAAGGCTGAGGACTTCTCGAAAAATATCTTCTACTAGTTACTCTCTGAAGCGGCTGCTGTGGAGCCTCCGAAGGTTACTCGTGAGAGCGGTAAGGGAAAAGGAAAGGGAAGAGGTCGTCATGATGGTAAGCTTGGAGTCTGGCAGGTGTAGCTTGAGTCGTTTATGGTATCAGATGATCATAATCACGGTAAGGGCAAGGGGAAGGGTAAGGGTAAGGGCGGTAAGGGTGGGCATCGGAAAGGAGGAGGAGGAGGACATAAGGGAGGCAAAGGGAAAGGACGATGGTGAAACTGTGAATGTATCGACTTACTAACAGTTTTCTAATCATACACTATCCATTTGAGTTGATAAGATGTCGAGGCAACGAAACAAGGAGGCACGTCACCCTCGTTAGAAGTGGCGTGGCCTATCGGCACGGTGTGCAGAAGAGCATCAGGTTAGACGCACCAGTGAGGTCTTCTCATTACGTAAGGATAAACATACATTAGCGTGCCACAGTGGTTATGGTAACCGTTCCCGGCCAGTTCAACGAGTGATGGTATGGCTGGTAATATCAATCGACAACCACCCGGGCCGGAACTCTGCCAACACAACACTCATACTTTAGGGAGGCGTGGCGAGCCTGATGAAAGCGTCACACTCGCCGCCAAACGACAGCCTGACTGATGGTAGAGAAACGATCGATGGCCATCCAAGTGATTCGAGTAGCATTTGATAGTCCTAAATCGACATACCATTTCCTCCATGATATACCTGGGCAAGTATACACATGAACGATAGTCTTCCGAACCACCGAGGAAGCTCACATGTAGTGTCGTCGATGGTATTTCCTTTAGCTCTTCCGCACTTAT